CCAAGCTGCTGAAGGTGGACCCGACGCGGGGTGTCCCCAATGAGGACGTCCACGCCCGGCAGACGGTCTACGGCACGAACACCATTCCCAAGCCCCCGTCGGTGACCTTCCTGGAGCTGGTCTGGGAGGCGCTGCAGGACCCGACGCTGATCATGCTGATTTGCGCGTCCCTGGTGTCCGTGGCCATTGGTATCTACGAGGAGGTGACGCGCGACCGGTCTGGCGGGTCCTCCGGCAGCCAGGACAACGAGTACGAGCTCGGGTCCTGGGTCGAGGGTGTGGCCATCATGGTGGCCGTGGTGGCCGTGGTGCTGGTCAGTGCCGGTAACGACTACCAGAAGGAGCGCCAGTTCCGCAAGCTGAATGCCAAGCGCGAGGACCGCAATGTGACGGTCATCCGGTCCGGCGAGCGTCTGTCCATCTCGGTGTACGAGGTGGTTGTCGGTGACATCCTGATCATCGACACCGGTGATGTCCTTTGCGCCGATGGTGTCCTGCTTGAGGGCCATGACATTCAGTGCGATGAGTCCAGCCTGACCGGCGAGTCGGACGCCATCAAGAAGATCGTGTGCCATGGCCGGCAGCCTGGCAGCGACAAGGATGACGCCCCGGTCTCCAGCTCCAAGGGGTCCGGGCCTTTCCTCCTGTCCGGGTCGAAGGTCCTGCAGGGTGTCGGTTCCATGGTGGTCACCTGTGTCGGCGAGCACTCCATGTATGGTAGCACCCTGGCAGCCATGTCCACCGGCAATGAGAATACCCCCCTGCAGGACAAGCTGGCCGATCTGTCCGAGACCATCGGCAAGATCGGCCTGGCCGTGGCGCTGCTCATGCTTTTCATCCTGATCGTCAAGTATTGTGCCATCCACGGTGCGCGCCGGTCTTTTTCCCTGCCTTGCTTTCCTTTTCCCCCTCTCCCCCCCGCGCGGGCCCTTTGTCCTTTTTTTTTCTTTCTGCTGACACCCGCCGACATATCATCATCTCCATATCGGGCCCCCCCTGGCCGCCGTTGGTGTTCCGGTCGCTCGGTCTGGTCGCCTCGTTGCCTGCTTCCGTGTCTCGATGTCTGTGCGTGTGTGCCGGTGCATGGATGGGCGTGGCGCCCATTCAGCCATCAACAAGTCCTGGCCCAGCGGCGCGTCGGCCATCGTCCAAGACATCGTGGGGTTCATCATTACCGCCGTGGCGGTCGTGGTGATGGCCGTGCCGGAGGGCCTGCCCATGGCCGTCACCCTGGCCCTGGCCTATGCCACCATTCAGATGCTGCGCGACAACAACCTTGTCCGAATCCTGGCCGCCTGCGAGACCATGGGTGGTGCGACGACCATTTGCTCGGACAAGACCGGTACCCTGACCCAGAACCGCATGACCGTTGTCCAGGTGCGTGCTCTTTCTTTCTTTCCCGGGGCCGATGTGCCTCTCCCCCTCCAGGTCCACGCCGCGGTGCTCTGCATTGCTGTCTCTTCCCCCCTCCCCCCCCC